GGTTTAGGGCGTAGGGTTTAAAGATTAGGGTTTAGGTTTTAGGGTTTAGGGTTGAGGGTTTGGGGTTTAATGTTTAGGGTTTGGTTTAGGGTTTTTAGGGTTTGGGGTTAGGGTTTAGGGATTCGGGTTTAGGGTTTAGAGATTAGGGTTTAGGGTTGAGGGTTTAGGGATTAGGGTTTAGGGTTTAGGGAAGGGTTTAGGGTTTAGAGAAGGCCGGCGTGCAAGCGAACGGCCTTGGCCCTTTGGCCACGAAGCTCACGCTCGAGGAGGCCGAGATGCTGGCAGCCCGCTGGGCGCTTGGCGTTTGGGGTTCTTGAGGTTTCACAGGGGTTACGGTTTTTGCAAGGCTTAGGGTCTTGTTCTTGCCTTTTTTTGCTGTGTTTGCAATTTTTTGTGGGTAGGTTTGCTGGCTCTGTTGTGGGCTTGTCGCTCAGGCTGTCTTTGTAATCGTATTCTTCTTAAATTTTGCTTACCCTAAACCCTAAACCCTAAACCCTAGACCCTAAACCCAGAAGACTTCATGGGTTGCATCGTTTAGGGGTGGCTTCTGCTCTGATCGTCTGTGCAGAGTTCGCGATTTTGTCCGCGTCACCTTTGCCACATTGCTGCTACTGTGGTTACTCATTCTATTGCTACGGTTTAGCTAATGTTAACTGTAGCGAAATAGCGATGTTTCGAATTTTCGTCTGATCATGGTTACCAACCTTCTTCTAGCTGGTTCCTGTTTTTCACTGCCATGATCGCGCTTCGTGTTTTGGTTTCTGTTCGACACCTGTGTACTTGATTTCGTCATTCCGCCAGGGGCATGTGTGATTTCTGCTCCCGGTCCCGAAACCCTAAACCCTAAACCCTAAACCCTAAACCCTAAACCCTAAACCCTAAGCCCTAAACCCTAAACCCTAAACCCTAAACCCAAACCGTAAACCCTAAACCAATTCTGTTCTGCCAGGTCTCATGAGGCTCTGGGTTTCCCATTTTATCTGCCTCATTCTCGTAGCAACACCCCCCTAAACCCACCTAAGTCGCGAATCCGAAGTCCCAAGCCCTAAACGCTAAACCCTAAACCCCTAAACCCTAAACCCACGTAAATCCTAGATCCTAACTCCCAAACAGTAAACCCCAGACATTCAACGCTTAAACTGGGCCGCCGGAGGGTTTATAGGGTTTAGGGATTAGGGTTTGGGGATCATAGGGTTTTGGGTTTAGGGCTCATAGGGTTTAGACTTAATAGGGTTTCGGGTTTAAGGGCCGAGAATTACCTTAAACCCTCCTGAACCCTAAACTCTAAACCCCAATGTCATACTGCTAAGGGGTCGGCCACGTGGTGCAGACCGCAGTGTGCCGCCCTCAAATCTGCTCTACAGGGTTCCGTGTAACGTTTTTTGGATTCGCTTAAGGGTTTTATAGGGTTTACAGGGCTCTATAGGATGTTACAGGGTTTAAGGGTTTACGGGGTTTTCTGGGTTTTAGGAGTTTTCTGTGTTACAAGGTCATGTTCAGGCGTTCCTCAAAGGGCTTTGTAGGATTTCATAGTATTTGCACAGGGGTGTCCAGTAGTATAGGGTTTCTATAGTACGGTTTATTTGTTTTTGTTACTACTGCTTTTTGCATGCCTTTGACGAACTGATGCGGTACTTTGTTGCTAGACCCTAAACCTAAACCCTAAACCCTAAACCCTAAACCAAACGCCCTAAAAACCCTAAGCCCTAAGCCCTAAACCCTGAACCCCAAACGTTTTTGCGAAGCAGTTGGAAGATCATCGGGGTACCTTCTGAAGCAGATCGGCACTAGGCTTACAACGGTGAAGCGAGAGGGACCCTAATATAGGGCCTACATAATTGCTTACACGATTTTCGGGGCTCCTATATAATAGTATAGTGCACCCCAAAACCCTGTTTTAATTATTAATCAAGGCCGCTACATTAATTTCGGGAAGTCGCTCATACTGAAGATTTGCGGGTTAAACCCTAAACCCTAAACCCTTAAACCCTAAACCCTAAACCCTAAACCCTATTCGAGGTTGTATGTACCAAGGCTCTTCGGGGTAAGGAACATCGGCCAGGACATGTCAACGGCCCAGGTCTTTTTGCCAAATGCTGTAGGCTCTCAGATCTGTACATGTACTTATTTCAGTTAGAGGAAACTACAAGGTGGGGAGTTTAGGGTATATAGGGCTTCTATAAGGCTGCCATAAGGTATATAGAC